GGGGCGTGCGCGATATCGTGTGCAAATGGGGGGTGCTGGACCCTTGCAATCAAAGGGGGCGTGCGCCTTTTCGTCTGCAAGGGGGGGGGTGCTGGACCCTTGCAATCAAAGGGGGCGTGCGCGATATCGTCTGCAAGGGGCGGGGTGCTGGGCCCAATCAAGGGGGGCGCGTGCGCGATATCGTCTGCAAGGGCGGGGAGGGGTGCGGGACCCTTGCCGAAAAAAAGCTGTTGCCCGTTGCTGCTCCATCAGGTTCTTTTATCTCCCGGTTGGTTTTCGGGTTCCCGGCTTGACCTTGTTTGTCTGAGCGTTGTGCGCATGCAAAAGAGAAAATTTTCAGGCTATCAACCACCGACTGGAAGATGGTAAGTTGGCATAAGTTGGCTAGGGGTAGGTTACTAGTAGCTTGGGATATGATGCAGGTGTTCCTGGTCGATGGACTTGACAGGACGAGGACAAGTGTTCTTGAGCTCCTGTTTTTGCCGCGTGATTATTGGACCATGATCTTGGCCAGGACCTGCTGGCGTATGCATCAAACATCCTTCGCCATTGAAAAGTCCATATCCCACAACCGAAGTGACATTCTCACGAGGACTCGTGCAGCACTGGAAGCAGTTGTCGATAGCATGCATGGCATGAGTTGCAATTGGGCACCTTTGGCGTCGAAGGGCATGTTTCTAAATCTGCACCGCATGACTGGGGGACGCAAACCATGATACTGGTTGAGTGTTACTGCGCGAAGTGTACCATAGCAACGGTTTGGGATACGCTTATTTCAGAATGTCTCTTCATCTCTCCGTCTCAATAGACAATTACGCCTGGACTGTCGGACTCGAATGTGCGCAAGAGTGTGCGCGTGGAAACATACGATAGCTTTCGCGGAAGGGCGTATTCTGCGAGCCGACGAGTATCTTCAGCTTTCATGAATTCCTTGCACATGCCTTCTTTGCACGTTTTCAAATTCCTGGCTCCACTTGCGGAAGGGATACTTTTACCTTTGCTGGCCAAATGGTGGCGTGAAAGCACTCCCAGACACACGCTGCGGAACCGCCTCTCCTGAGTACGAACAAGAACCACCAAGAACCAACTTGTTTGCGAGGCATTTTTCAAGGATACGTGTGGTGGTTGCTCTAGCGCCAGCGGGCAAACCTCAAAACGGCGCGCGTGCAATTCCATGCAGCTGCGCAGCTAGGGGTTGCCCTTCCCCCCCCTCCCTCCCTCCCAGCTCCCTCCCGTCCCCTCCCTCCACTCCCCTCCCTCCACTCCCCCAGACCTAGAGTGTTTTGGGGTTTGGGGTTTAGAAGTGTAGGGTTTAGGGGTTCAGGGTTTGGGAGACAATAAAACAAAGACCAAAGCCGGGC